TATACCAGCTTACAAACACAAACACGTATATTATGTGTGCGCATTGTCAGACTTAACCTGTTTTAGTTGCGGAGCAAGAGTGGACGAAGGCAAAGAGCGAATGTATCAACCTTTTCGTGAATTTTTTAGTAATAGGTGCAAACGAGCGGAACATCCTAATTTTTCAAAACGTCGTTCTCACCAGCTTTTAAAATCTTTTTAAAAAGCAAATATTACTACGAGATTCAGTATAGTAGCAACTTATGTCTCCATGAGATTTATTGACTGAAACGAAGAGCAGTCCTATGGCTAAAACCTCGTTCCCTGCGTAATCATGGCAGATGACGTCCAGTTTTCAAAATTCGCGAGGATCCTCGCCCATCGCCTACCTCTGGTGCTGCCACCCTTAGTCGACCGCATATTCTTGGGGTCACATTGATCTTTCTGTTCGCTTCTATTTTGGCAGCATACTTCTCTGATAGAAAGTTTAAAGCGAAGGCATCGCTCAGATTCTTCAACGGCCCGTCTAACATATATTTGTCTATATCGAGTAGAATGCCAAAGCCCAAACTTTGTATGACTAAAATATTTATTGTGTATATCGCAATATGTTTCCATGAGCATGTTGTGTGTATATATGGAGTTTAGATGAATACACATCTCATCCATATTCTAACTCCGCGACATCGATATTCAGTGGATACATTTTCTATACGTATTATGTCATCTCTAACAGATAGCTATTTATGTCTGTGTTTCTGTTGTTTTAGTTAATTGCAGTTGCGATGATGTAGAACAATGTAAGTAAAAAACGACGTTTAGTCTTCATAGTTTATTTTTGGATAAGAGTACAAAGGAACTTGATTTTACACTTTTGAACCCTGTCTAAAAGTGGGAAAAGAAGCGGTGAAAAAGCGTTACTTATGTTTGTATTGTTCCCATATAGCCTATACAATAGACGACTTAACGTTTGAATATTATGATGATGATACGACAACGAATGCTGAATTAACGCCAACGGCCGCTGCAATTATGTCTTTTCAAGAAAAAGTAAGTAGATCAAATGGGGAAAAAATATTGGAAACGGTATTCATTCATTCTTCTTCTTCATGGTTTCTCTAGTTGACCATTATGTTCGCACAAATCAATATGACAATAGTATTGACAAAGGAAGCTATAGAAACATTACTGCCAAATGGACGAAGGAAAAGAGCGTATGTATCAACTTTTCTGATTCTGCTTAAGAAAACAGCGCAAATCATTTCTTTTGGTGACCTTTTCCACACGTTTTATTCTACTAGATCTGCAAAAGCACCGACGAAACAGTCTGTGACGCAATGCGTGGTCGGTCCTGGCCAAAAGCGGAAACGTCGTGCCGCCACCACATCGGATGACAGTACGGATTTCAATTGTGAACAAGTATGTTCAAACCATAATGTACAAGAGATAATAAAATTGCTTGACAACGCAATCAATTCTACACAAATTAGTGTTCTTGATGAATATCGGGTCGATTGCGACGGAGAACTTCACGGTGGAACTCTCGTTAACATGACATTAACAAGTTACAATCACAATATTACTGTCGAAATGGGTAATCGCGAGTTCATCCGTCGGATAGCTGGTGGCGGTTTTATCTAATTTTTCCTCTTTGTTTAGAATCAATTTCTTCAAATCCGAACGCGACAGAATACACTGACCCGTGTAGTGAGTATTTATTGTGTGCGCTTATTCGGGCATTTGTATGCTGCTTGAAGTATGTGGTCTCGGGGCGATGTGAAGGTTTGCATCCTTTCATTCATGTTTTTCACGCCGAACGAAACATTTTGAAGTCGATTTCGACTTCTTTCTGAAAGGGCGAATATAGCATGCCAGACATGAATTGGAACATGTCCGATGTTTTACTGTGCGATCACCTTAGTCGGCCTCATATTCCTTGGTCATATTGATCTTTCTGTTCCCATCTACAGAAAAACATATGCAGCATACGTTTCAGCCAGAAAGTTTAAAGCGATGACGTCACTCGGATGGGGGTGGGGGGTGTAACATGATATTCTGAACGTGTCAAAGTTGCTTGTATTAATGAATCTTGTCTCGATGGCAACTGGACCGCAGTGCAACTGACAGAAAGAAAATAAATCCTGCTGGAGAACATACATAACGCTTTAGACATTTTCTTGTTTGAGCACCATTCAAAATATTGAAGGTCGTTGAGTTATCCAACTTCGACACACTGAAAATAGCAAAGTATTTGCTTTGCTCGAAAAATAGATTCCATAAGAAGAAGCCTTAGAAGATTCACCGGAGAATTTTGCATCTTCTCACATATTTTTCGAAATATTACAGTGAAATCTTCTAAGAAACTCTCTCTGTGCGAAAAATTTAACAAATCTAATTTCTAAATCTATTTTTCAAAAGACTTTAGTTGTTTTACTATAAAGAAGTAAAACGTTCTGAATCAAGGATTTTAGTTCTTTTCACCTTGCATAGAATTAAATTCTGCATTGTTTGATATATAAACAAAGTTTCCCAGTTGAAATTATTAATTAAAAGATTAATTTAGTTTAGAAGAATTGAAGAGCTAGTTGTGACCTAATCATAATTCCAGCTGGTGCAGAGG